GGCGGGTCGCACTGCGGGTGGCGCCCCCGGCTCACATGGCCTTGCAACTCCCGCCCCCCAGCACTAGCAGTGTCTGCCCCACAGGCACTTTGGAGCCAAATCTGCAACGGGACAGCGAGTTCCCCTCCAAAAACCTTTACAGGCGAATATCCTATGTATGGGGGCGGCCCTAGACTAGCTGCCAGCAACTGGCGCCCTAGGCGAACCATGCAATCGGCACCCCCACCTCCAAACCCCTGGATGATACTGCACCACTATTTGGCGTCCCATTTAACTTGGCACCCTAAGCGACCGCCTAGTTCACCTATATGGATGGGCTGCCCCTGCCTATGTAACGCATCACAGAGGAGATCCCCTTTCTTAGTGCCCTTCCTCTCACAGCACCCTGGCTCAAAGCAAGCCCATTCTTTCTTGAGGGATTTACTTCTTATTCCACCCCAAAGCTCATGGGAAATGCCAAGGATGAGGACTAGATAACCAATCCTTAGTTGATACTGCAATGATTAGGTGGGGCAAAAGCATTTTCCTTAGCTCCCCATGCTTCTACCAAGGAGAAAAAAAAAGTTTGATCCTCTTCCCAGTTGAATGGATCAGGGTGTCCCACTCACAGTGCAAGTGATTAAGGTCTTGGTTGGTGTTAATGCAGTTCCTTAGAATGCAGATCTTTTTATCTTATCCTGACTTGAAAGTGGTGTGAGGAAATTCTTACTCGTTTTGCCAACAATCCATAGAGCAGATTCAACAATCCAGTGCCAAGGATCACAACCTAATATTCCTGCTTGTCTGTTACTTTGTGGGTGCAATCAAATTTATCGGGTCTTTACGCTTCTGTATTGTGAGTCTAGATGGCTGGGGAGGACTGGCTAAAAGATGAACCAGTTATCTATATATACAAAAGTTTTTTCTGCTATGCAACAGAATGATGTCATCAGCCTACTTAAAAGTGGAGTCTTAGTGTCATGCTTACCTGTGCTTCCACCAGTAGCAACTGCAAAACTGAGATCTGTCTGTAGACCCATCTGTAACATGTAGTACGTGAGCAATAGACCAATTAACAGTTTTTTTCTAAACCGCTTTTCTATATAATCAGTGCGAGATTAACAGGCTCTCTGGCTGTTTAGAGGGGGGTTGGTAAGCATAGCAAAAATGGGGCCCAGCCCACTAGTATATCTGGTCACCAGAGTCTGTGTTTGCCATACATATGTAGATACAACACAGGTGGAACTAGGAATGAAATGCCTAAAGACATTTCTTTTGCCTAGTGTCAGGGATGTTCCCCACTCTGGCACTCTGAATGCAGAAGGCGGGGGGGCCTGCAAGAGACATTAAATACCTTATTTCTATAGACTCTTCTTATAAAAACTCCCCAGTGTCACAAATTCACTGACTTTGGGAGGTAGCTGTTACCATCAAGTGATTTAATCCCTAAAAAAAACAGAAAAAAAACACTTGAAATTCTTCCCAAGGGATACCCCAAGTGAGCTTGAAAAAGAAACAACAACAAACCCCACAGTAAACAAACTGTGTCTCTGATAGGGAACTCTCAGGCTAGGCAGGCACACATAAGAGACCTCCAGGACACAAGAATCAAATCATCACCTTAAAAAAGGTGATTTTATTAACAAAAGAAAAAAGATACTTGATAAAGCATACTTGTTTGCTAGGTGCTACAGAGCAACTGAGGAAAGAACAGATTAAAACACAGAGAAAAATGGTATCTCTGGGCTGTAGCTTAAATATGGTGAGTGAGGGAGGGAAGGCGTGGATTCACACAGAGAAGTTTAACCAAACAACCAAAACAAAGGAACATTCCCAGATTATGACTAAATATACATTTTCTCCTTATTTACTCACGATCCCTTCATGATCCAGTTCACCTCTATGGCATGAGTTCCTTGGAGGCATGGTAGTCCTGCCTGGTTTAAATCATTCTCTTTCTCCCAATTCCTGGCTTAAAATTCACATAGAGAGAAACGGCTGCAGGTATATATTTACAATTTAAATTTCAGCTCTGTATCACATTGGTTCTTCTGGCTCCCTGCCAACAACAGCCTTAGTAACCTAGGTTTAACCCTTTAGTTACCAAGTGCTGGCCATCACACCTACTTTAAAAGATTCTATATA